CAGTCAGTGTCAGCATCAGAGGGTGCCAGTATTAGTGGGTGCCAGTATCAGAGGGTGCCAGTATTAGTGGGTGCCAGTATCAGAGGGTGCCAGTATTAGTGGGTGCCAGTATCAGGGGGTGCCAGTATTAGTGGGTGCCAGCCATTCGAGGGTGCCAGTATTAGGGGTGCCAGTATCAGAGGGTGCCAGTATTAGTGGGTGCCAGTATCAGAGGGTGCCAGTATTGTGGGTGCCAGTATCAGAGGGCTAGCATTAGTGGGTGCCAGTATCAGGGATTAATAGGGGTTAAAAGTAAGTCATCCGCCCGCCAGTACTGATGGACCGCACGATGGACAAATCCGAGGTACACAACACGCTAAAAAAGACTTCTGTGAAAATAATACACAGCTTTAAGGTCGAGTGTGACAAGGAGTGATAAAGCATCCGAGGATTTAAATAAGTACTCTTGTTAGCAGGATGGCCACATACTCGTGGTCTAGTAGTACTCTGATAGCAGGATGGCCACATACTCGTGGTTTTGTAGTACTTGTTAGCAGGATGGCCAACTACTCTCGTGGTTTAGTAGTACTCTTGTTAGCAGGATGGCCACATACTCTCGTGGTCTAGTAGTACTCTTGTTAGCAGGATGGCCACATACTCTCGTGGTTTAGTAGTACTCTTGTTAGCAGGATGGCCACATACTCTCATGGTTTAGAAGTACTCTTGTTAGCAGGATGGCCACATACTCTCGTGGTTTAGTAGTACTCTTGTTAGCAGGATGGCCACATACTCTCATGGTTTAGAAGTACTCTTGTTAGCAGGATGGCCACATACTCTCGTGGTTTAGAATTACGTGTAGTCTTTAATACCATGAGTACACCACAGTCGTGGTGCTGGGATAACAGAGATACGTGGTAGTGTCAAGTGTCAACATGGAATATAAAGTCATGTTGACCCATTCATTGTCTTCATCCCCCGCTTCACCCCTCCTTATACCTCTAGTCAGTCAAGAGGAACAACTCAGGGGTGTATTGAAGCACAGTATTGTTCATCATAGTGGCTTCTTTCAGTCTTCAGCTTTCTATTTCTCTCTTTTCTCCTTTTCTTCCTGTTCTTCAACCTTTCTCCACCCATCACTCTCTCCTTCCTCTCTCTCCCTATCTCTCTCTCTCGGTCTCCTCGTATACCCATGTGGGATTAGGAACTAAACTTTGGCCTCATATAAACCCGGGAATTAAACAGGCTGATACACACAATAATATCAATAATAATACACACACACACACACACACACACACACACACAATATCAACAGACCTTTTTACATTATATTCTGACTGGCGGAGGAGCACTGGTGACTTTTACTTCGAGAGATAAGAGATAAAAAATACCAATGGGGGTGGGGTGGGGGCGACAAGTAGAGGGGATTTTTTAGATTGCCCCTGAGGGGGCTAGTTTATTGGGCACCCCCTTACATCCTTTGCAAGGTGAAGCGCAGAACCGTTTACAGTGCCCATCTGGGAAGCATGCGGAGTTCATGCTTGCCTTTATAACTCATGCATTAAGGGCGTAAAAGGCTGAAGGGTCATGGGTTTTGTCAGCAAGTTATATAAAGTGACAGAATGATGAGTGTGTAGGGGGAAATTTCCCGGTACAATTTATCTGTTTATGGCCAAGCGTGGCAGGTCCCTAATAAAGTCAAGTGCCAGGCCATAGGCATTGACAATATTGAGGGACATACCTTTTAGTGTGATTGTGATGGCGTGAACGTCGGTAGTGTCGGCTTCAAGGGGGACGTCGAGAGGTTGGTAGGGGACGTCCTTCTTGGCGTAGATACGTAGTTCACTAGCATGTCCGCAGGGTGGTCATTTGATGTGGAGAACTTGAGTGGATGGGCCCCAGGTGCCGGCATGCCGGTGGGGGACGGGGAGCCGGGAGTGGTGTCCTCGGGTTCATGAGCGCGCGGTGGGTGGACGGGGGCAGCCGGGCACGGGGCGGGCTCGGTGTGGACGCCAGCATTGGTGCCAGGCGGCGGTGGAGTAGGCCGTGAGCATGAGGGGCACACCGGGGGGGCTACCAGGTTGTGTCAAACCAGAAGAGGGGGGGTGACTGGGTGGCAGCTGGAGGCAGGGGTAGTCTGTGTAGGTTGGAGATGGCGGTACAGTGTATCAAAGAGTCTTTCAATACGGTTGGTAAATTCGTGTAAGAGGCTGTGTCGTGTCACTGGAAGGGGTTGTGGGGGGGGCACCGGTGGGAGCACAAGGCCTGACAGCGTCAGAGTAGAGACGGAGAGGAGGCCCAGTTGTAGTTGAGTTAGGAGACGGCCGGGACTGCTGTGTTGCAGCCAGGTGAGGCCAGGCAGGGGCAGGTGTCGTTGAAGAAGCCGTTGCTGGAGACAGAGGGGACGCAGAGGGATGTGGCTCGGTAGGCTGGGGGAGAGGTTGAGAATGACGCAGCCTTCGGGGAGGCTTTTCTCCTGGGACAGACGGACATTTGGGGCGTTATCGTGAGTCGGCATTGTGCCAGCCACCACAATCACAACACCTGGGGTCAACACCACCCCCATTGAGGTGGCCTTTGATTTTTTGGGCACAGACGGAGGAGTGATGGTTATGTGAACAGAAGCGAGGGATAATTATTATAGTGAAGACCTCGTTAACCCCATGACCTTTGACCTGTGACACCAACAACATGATGATTCTGGGTAATATTAAAGCAACTGTACTGGTGACTAATGAAGATATTCCTTGAAGTTGAGATAAGTCAGTCTCTCTCTCTCTCTCTCTCTCTCTCTCTCTCTCTCTCTCTCTCTCTCTCTCTCTCTCTGTATACAAGTATCCATTATAAATACTTGCAGTGAACTAAACCACAAAATCATTTTTTTTTCTCATAATTAATTTCGTTCTCCCCAAGGCCACCCTGGCGAACACAGTGCCTGTCTCTATCAAGTGTGGGAGACGGTGGGGAATTTCTCGGAAGCAAAAGACACTACGACGCCTTCACCCACAGGACCGCCGACCACAAACCACACACTCTTATCTCACTCACACACACTCACACACACACTCTCCATTAAGAAACATTTGTGTTGCATGACTGGCACTGAGTGTGAATTGTGTAACGTTAGAATTAGAATTAGGTCATAAGTTATTTGTTTTTATTTGTTTGTTTGTTTGTTTTTTGTTTTGTAGCGCAAGAGAATAATGTAATAAAACGAATAGTGTGGCGGAGGGTTTGAGGCCACGAGTCCTTTCCATTGTGTTAAGAAGATATACAGTGTAAGTTTTTTTTATCCGGGCACAGTGGTCTTTAGATCCTTTCACACACACACACACACACACACACACACACACACACACACACACACACAGTTCATAATATAGGTTTGGAAGTTAACAGTGGAGCGTCGTTCATTATACAGTAATGCAACTAATACATCATACATCATGTCACTCACTGTAACATCCCTCACTCGTAATAGTAATCACCATAACCAAAGCTGTCGGTGTATGAACTAAGAGATATGAGTCACACAAACACCGCCTCATGATCAACAGACGACGATCAACACGACCATAATGTGAAAGACGATCCATGACGTGTAATGACTCACAGAAAAGAATATAACTACGTCGACTAGATAAGGGTTCTGTCCTTAATGTAGCAGGTTTTAGTTCCGTATAGTACAGTCACGGACAAAGGTTCGCTCCCTGTGATGAAACTGAGACACGGGAATGAGTCTTCGAACTGACTTACCCTGACTGTTGTATCTCATTTTGGGTCGATGCTGCTTCAGTCTGAGAGGAAGTGAGCTTCTGACCCCCAATTTACAGTCCCCTCCACAAGTGCGTTTACAGGAGCTCGTCATATAAACATTCCACAAATCATTATCATTGAGATATTTGTTTTAATATTGTTTTATTTGGTTCCATAGTATGTTTACTATTGTGAGTTTCCTTCTGTCGAATGTAAACAAACACAACGCTGCCACACTGCACAAAACCTGACGAGCCCCTGTAAACGCACAAGTGAAGGCGACTGTACATAAACACTAATACCATATTTTGGGGAGTGTATGTATACTGTATGTAGTAATGGGGTAGTTTAGTCATAATTCAAAATGATTAGGTAACTAATGCTAACGCTGCCATCGTACTCTGGTTTAATAGCTCGATCCTTAACGGTAATGGAATGTTATAATGTGGTACAGTCCCCTTCACTAGTGCATTTACAGGGGCTCGTCAGGTTTTGTGCAGTGTGGCAGAGTTGTGTTTGTTTACATTCGACAGAAGGAAACTCACAATAGTAAACATACTATGGAACCAAATAAAACAATATTAAAACAAATATCTCAATGATAATGATTTGTGGAATGTTTATATGACGAGCCCCTGTAAACGCACTTGTGGAGGGGTCTGTATACAACCCCATGATGCAGTAAATGTCACCGAAGCCCTCCAGCGTGTGGAGGCTGCCTGGCCCTCAGGCTAACACCTTTCCAACCTGAAGGTGCAACTCTCAGGTGTCACCAGGTGTTATTGCCTCCTCTACATTTCATTATAATTAGCTTAAACAAGAAATCTAAAAAAATCAACTCAAACTCCATTTCAGGTTACTTTTGTCTGTAAGTTAATAAAAAGATACTTATTAAATAAAGTCATTTCGAAAACTTCCTAAAATATGAATGAATAATATATTTCGTGATCTCTGACCATCACAAAATCAACACACGGTACAAATATAAGTCAACATCGTCTTGGTTTTTTGAGGTTATTAGAAAGTTTGGTTGTGTCTATGTTAGGTTAGGTTAGGTTAGCCAGCGTATGAGAGATTGACATTTTAAAAACTTTGCGAATCCTTAAATTTATATACCACAGGAAAATCCACTGTTTTTTCCTTTGGTGTTTACAGTTTATCGTAAAAAAAAATCAAATCCACCAATCAAATTTCACCTTTATAAAATCAAATCCACCAATCAAACTTCACCTTTATATAACACAAGGTTAACCCAAATTACGTACGTGTCAGGTAGTTGTTTGATCCCTCGCCCCTAAGAGTTTAGATAAGAAGCCCAAGAGGACCTGTATCCCGCTCCTGCAGTAATGAGACTGGTAGGAACACGATACATCAGAGGGGACCTGGGGAAAGCCGAGGAAGATAGTGGAGGATGGAGGGCAGAGGAGCGGCCCAGATGGAGGAGGAGGAGGAGGAGGAGGAGGAGGAGGAGGAGGAGGAGGAGGAGGAGGAGGAGGAGGAGGAGGAGGAGGATGAAGAGGAGGAGGAGGAGGAGGAGGAGGAGGAGGAGGATGAAGAAATTGGAGATTGATTGAAAGCGAGTGTGTGACAGACCCATCAAGTAAGAAACAAAGGAAGTCAAGGTTGGGTTAGGTTAGAGACGTGTGTATTTTACGTGCAGGACAGACAAAGAGAGTTGGATCAGAGGTGTGAGGGCTGTTCTTCCTCCTACCCAGCCGCCCCTTTTATTATTCCTACATGATTAGGTTACAAGATTTGTAATTATCTCTCCTGATATTTCCAAAACATAAGAATTTAGATCTTTGTTATCATCCTCTCCTCTACAAACACTGATGATTAATCAACTCCTGTAGTTAGTTCTATGTGGAAATTCACATCAGGTATTAAACAACGACACTCACTAACAGCTCTTAAAATTGGTACTAATCTGAGTTTAAAAGATGATTTTACTGATAACTACAAAGAGAAGTATTCGTGTTTGTCTTTCATTTATTCCGTATTATTTATATTCCATTCCTTTATCTAAATACCCAGTCATTCGACGACGGTGGACAAGGCGCCCAGGTAAACAAACAAACACAAATAATCATTTATGAAACCAACACAGGTGAGAAGTTTCCTAATTATTGAATATTTAATAACACTTCCAAGGCGTTTAAAAACTTCATCTATTAAGCGCCACAAGGCGTAAATAGACAACATCACTCGTTCAACGTGTAATTAGGTGTTCACGGTGCATCAGTAAGTACAACATATCAAAGGCTTCATTGAACTCGGTGAAATATCTTTGAATTTTAACATAAAAACAAAATATCCGAAACTTTCACCTTAGGAATCAAAACATCCAAGATGGCTGCCGTGGAGGCCTTGTCAAATAACACACACACACACACACACACACACACACCAACCAGTGACCTCACACCAACAATGTCTCATTCATTTTGTCGAATCATCACGTGTATATTCTCACTACATCACGTTCGTTTCCCCGCTTGAGTATTACACCATTTCTCTCTACGTCTTGTGACTCATCATCCTCTGAATAAGACTGGTGGTGGTGGAGAATTAATATCCTCTCAGAGTCTCTCCTTGGAAACACTGAATGTGGCCACGACTGAGTAAATCCTTGACACTGTTTGATACTTCCGGGACCCTGTATACTATCTCTCTCTCTCTCTCTCTCTCTCTCTCTCTCTCTCTCTCTCTAGTCAATGTATCGTTGTTCGTTCCTCGTATACAATGGTCCATTTACATCACGGAAGGGAACGGTAGATATTTCACAACCTTAGTCTGCGGAGAAGCTTCGTTGAGTCATCCTCCTTCGTAAATCAAAGCCTCGGTAGATCTAAGGTAAGGATATTCTGAAGCAGGAGGCGGCTGACGGAGGAGGAGGAACAGTCAGGACGTATAACTTCCCAACTAAATCCTGAAGAAGTGGATTGATTAGGAGATATTGCCCGTGGTTTGTTGGGTCTTTGTTGTTGATCTTTGGCAGAGCTGGAGCCGCCGATAGTGCTACGTGACTCTCTCTCTCTCTCTCTCCATCAGAGCCACAGTAGTTGTAGGCATTTAGTGGTGTTAGGGTGAAGATAAATTATTGTCTGTTTACCTAATATCATGAGAGGAAGGCGTGTTGCGGTTTCTCATTAGCGTAACGCCCCTTCCCCTGCCTCACTTCTCCCTCCCTCCTACACCCTCCCTCCTACACCCTCCTTCCTACACCCTCCCACACCCTCCCTCCCACACCCAGCCTTCTCCCTCTCACCCCCTCCCTTCCTCCCTCCCCACACCCTCCCTCCCCCCCTCCCTCCCCCTACCACCAGTCTTGTTCTCCCTTATTTGTTTACAGTGTACAGGAGTTTGAGTGATCGTTGTCTTTCTACCGCATATTTTTGTCTCTGTGGAAGGAAGCTTTGGTTTTATTGTGGTTTTTCTTTCCAATAGTGGAAGGAAGCTTTGGTTTTATTGTGGTTTTTTCTTTCCAATAGTGTGTGTGTGTGTGTGTGTGTGTGTGTGTGAGGTCAAGGTTCACCACACAGGTGAAGGTTCACCGTGTACAGAGCGGACCTCCACTCACTACCAGCCAGCAGGGTTTCATCACCTGGGTTAGTAAACTGTTTATTGGGTTGTAAGCAATTATGAACTCTGTCAATTAACCTTCACGTGCTTCTTCATCCTCATGTTTGTTACTGTTTGTGTTACGGTAGGTGAGTGTTACTGTTTGTGTTACGATAGGTGAGTGTTACTATTTGTGTTACGGTAGGTGAGTGTTACTATTTGTGTTACGGTAGGTGAGTGTTACTATTTGTGTTACGGTAGGTGAGTGTTACTATTTGTGTTACTTTTTGTGTTACAGTAGGTGAAAGTTACACAAACAGACAACGCTAGGGAACAGGCGTGTATGCTACAACACAACACCTTTACCTTTGTCCGATGTTAATTATAACCTAACCTAACCTAACCACATCTTGTCATAGTGTTTTGATGCCGTGACAAGATGGCGTCCAGAATCAACTCAATGACGACAGATTAAACCGCGACAGAATGACACCACACACTGAGAAAACTGAAGAAATGAATCACTCAGAAATTAGACCGAGTCACATTTTCACCGTAACAAGATACTAAGATGAATCACCAGATGAACAAGTTGAATTTCATGCAAAGTAAAGTGAGTTTATTAAATGCCCGAGCGCTTGTGGTGCTTTGTGGGGGAGCGGAGTTTGGGGAGGGGAAAAGGGGAAAGGAAAGGGCAAGGGGGAGGGGAGAAGGTAAGGGAAGGAGGGGAAAAGGGGAAGGAGGTAAAAGGGGTAAGGAAGGAGGAGTAAGGAAAGGGGAGGGTAAGGTAAGGGAAGGGAGGGGTGGTGAAAGGGGGGGGGGGAGGGTGGTAAGGGGGTAAGGGGAGGAGGAGGGAGAAGGTGGTAAGGGAAGGGGAAGGGGAAGGGGGGAAGGGAAAGGAAAGGGGATGGGAAAACGGTAGGGAATAGGGAGGACATTTCACCACTGAAAGTACACTAATAATCTGGGTCTTAATTCACACCAGATTCTTACTATGATTATTGTCGTAAACTGAAGACCTAACAGAGCATCTAACTGACTCTATAAAGTAAACACAACACAAAACATCAACAACGAGAGAACAGAATTTTGTCCAAAGTCTGACGGCAAATGAAAGTATCTAGTTACAGTCTCAGTATAATTTTTATGCTATTTCGGGGGGGTAGTATTTTTGTGTTTATAGTTAGGTTAGGTTAGGTTAGGTTAGGTTAGGTTAGGTTAGGTAAGGTTAGGTTAGGTTAGGTTAGGTTAGGTTAGGTTAGGTTAGGTTAGGTTATAGTTAGAACCTTGGAGAGAGTGGCTTCGGGGAGACGGATGAACGCCTCTGAATACACACGAAGGGGAGGGAGAAGCACTGGGGTCTCTCTTTGGGTTTACTATTTCATTATTAATTTCATCTCCTTCATCACCCTTTTAACTTATCTTTATCATAAGTTTCCATTCCTTTACAATTTATCGGTGTATATAGTGCTGTTTATCTTTATTGGGTGTTTACTATGTTATGGGATTAATAAGATACGAGGAATTAAGTAAGAAATATAACTGTGGAAAAAGACCTCAACACACAGCCTCGTCCATTCATCTCTCAACATAATTCAATATAAACAATTATTCTAGTTATATGATAGAACACTACCCACATAACCTAACCTAACCTAACCTAACCTAACCTAACCTACCTACATATTACTGATCTAGAGAGGCTGAAAGACGCGAGGAAGCAAAGTCTAGCGATGATAGGTGGATCAGGTAAGAGGAGAGAGACAAATAATCTTCGAACCAACTAAATTCCATCCAGGTATGAAGGAATTTCCCGGAGAGCCAATTAGAAGGACAACTAATTTAGATTAAAGATTTAATTCATTTAAAAAAAAAGTGTGGACGTGATAAAAATTAGAAGGAAAGCGAGGGCAGTAAAGGAGGAGATTGGGGAATGAGAGAAGAGGCAATATTCCTGATGAGAGAAATTTAGTTTTGATTACTCGACCACTTCTGTCTGGCGGGGTATTGCTGTCACCCGTGCTGGAGGAGTTAACATTTTTGTCGAGGTATAATGATCCAAATACATCTACTGTGATAATCAAGTGTTCCAAGCCTCTCAACACTCCAAGTAAGTACGACCTACTCCTCCCCACACAACGACCACCTATAGTCGTCACCACCTCAAGTTACGGGGTCATCATTCTCAACGTATCCTACGTCAATACATCCTGCCCCACATCAATATTTCCCCCGAAACTTATATTGATGTTAAGAGAACAGAACAAGTAAATTTAATAAGCTTTCAGTGCAATTTTGGAACCATTGAAATGAGACGATTACGTTATATCAGATTATACTGTATACAGTCCCCGTCACTTGTGCGTTTACAGGGGCTCGTCAGGTTTTGTGCAGTGTGGCAACTGTGTTTGTTTACATTCGACAAAAGGAAACTCACAATAGTAAACAAACTATGGAATCAAATTAAAACATTAAAACAAATAACTCAAAACAATGATTTATGGAATGTTTATATGACGAGCCCCTGTAAACGCACAAGTGAAGGGGACTACATAGTTAAGGTATATGAGGTTCGAACCAATGAGAATGAGGTCCGTAAGCCAGAGGCCGTCACAAAGACCACCACTGTTATACCTCCCTGACACAACACAACACTATCCTCCCTCAGTCACCACTTCGTATCACTGTACCCTCACCACACTACCATAATGCCCCCCCCCCCTCCTCAACTCTTACCCCACACCCTCAACCACATCCTCCACACCCTCAATCACATCCTCCACGCCCTCAATCACAT